GACCAGGTTACTGTGTCCGGATGGAGTGCTGCACCACCTCGTTATCTTCTTTTATTTTATGGACCGTCCATGAAACGTTTGATAAAGGACTGGAACGGTCTCCGTCCCTTTACTGTTGGAGATGGACCAACATAGAACGATATTGGATGATCCCGCGGCCACCTTATTGTCTAGAAAATGGACCGATCCGGTGACAACGCTACACTGAACTGATCCGGGGGACACCTCTGTGGTACAGATAGTGGGCTGGTTTTGGGGAATCGCTGCCGTGTATGCAAGCTGATGATCCAGTTACATGTGCAAGTCCCTAATAGACTGATCCTTGAAGGCCCCTGTGGACCGGTTAATGGGCCAGTCCATGGGGTTATCCTCTAGTGTTCTACTTTGATTATTTCTGCGGTCCTGAGATATCACTACAGTCCTGGCAGTGGAATGACCCAGGAACATTCCTACGTTACTATGAATGGGCTAGTCCAGGAACACCCCTGCAGTTCTGGAAATGGATTGGCCCCGTCCTCGGAGTGATGTATATGGACAGTCCTGTAAACCATGGCGATCTGGAACCAGAGGGAAAAATTGGGGACTCTTAACCTGCAGTCCCAGAAATAAGATTTCACTGTGATGTCATCACTCCCGTGTCCCCCGTACATGGACTAAACCTTTAGCAGCCCCCTCACCAGTCCTGGGCCGGACTGTACCAAGGCCGCTGGAGGGGCTGGTGACACGGACTCCGTAAAACGTTAGCACTTATTTTGAAATCTGCCTTTATGTTGAGAAGAGCTGACTAGATGTGAGTAGACACTTGAGTGTGTGACTAATGGCCAGAGGGCCGGCCGAAGCTCAGAAGGGCGGTCACCGATGGGCCTCAGGGTTTTTGTACATGGGCATTTCCTTCCTGTGTTTGAAATGTACTCGCAACGCATGCTAATTGTAGATCAATCGTGCACAAAAATACAGAGTGCAGCTCCCGAGCCCTACATCCGGGGTCACTCGCCCTGGTGCTAGACGCTGGCAGGGGTCCGTCTTATGCCCCGCAAATCAGGAGAAAAAGCCGGCTGCACTCCAGGAACATTCAAACGTTGGCAACTTTATTGTTCCAAGCAGACCCCTTCCTCTGACGGGCTTCACCCACAAACTACAATGAAGTCCAGCTTCATATGTGAAATGCGTCAACAGATGGAGGTCTCAGACAAGGGACTCTTTATTGTTCTGGGCAAGCAAGCAAAGAGCCCCTCCTGGGACCTTCTGATGCCTTTCACCTACAAGCCTCTACAGTTGAGTCCAGCTTTGTGGGTGAAACACATCAGATGTGGAGGTCTCAGATGGGAACTCTTTGGCATCTGTGTCTCCAACAAGCAAAGAGTTCCCGTCTGAGACCCTCTCCCCTGATATGTTTCATCCACAAGCCTCTAAGATTAATTCTAGCTTTGCGGTCTTTTAACCCTGCCGCTCTGCTCACCGCTCTCCATCCTGAAGACGTCGGCGGCCAGCGAGGAGAGGACGGAGCCAGTGAGGAGAGAGATAGGCAGGCGCGCGGGGAGCGGCGGATGGAGGACGGACCGGCTGCAGTCTTATTACAAGTGATCTTGGCGACATCGCCGAGATCACTTGTAAACAAACAAGTGGTTTCCTCGGCTTGTGCAAAGCCGGGCTAAATGTAGAAAACAAATTACCGCCCGGAACTCGATGTTCTGGCCGTCCGGAGACTTCAAACCGCTGCCGCCCCTCTGCTCCCTGCCGCCCCGAGGTCCGGGCCTTGTGGGGAATCCGGCCCTGGAATGAACACATGCATGTACGGCCCTCTTGGACCATGTGAATGAGCCCATGTGATACATTGGGTTTCGGTTGCACCTCACGGTTGTGTTGTTGTCTTCCAGGTGTCGGTTTCCGGATGGAGTGCTGCACCACCTCGTTATCTTCTTTTATTTTATGGACCGTCCATGAAACGTTTGATAAAGGACTGGAACGGTCTCCGTCCCTTTACTGTTGGAGATGGACCAACATAGAACGATATTGGATGATCCCGCGGCCACCTTATTGTCTAGAAAATGGACCGATCCGGTGACAACGCTACACTGAACTGATCCGGGGGACACCTCTGTGGTACAGATAGTGGGCTGGTTTTGGGGAATCGCTGCCGTGTATGCAAGCTGATGATCCAGTTACATGTGCAAGTCCCTAATAGACTGATCCTTGAAGGCCCCTGTGGACCGGTTAATGGGCCAGTCCATGGGGTTATCCTCTAGTGTTCTACTTTGATTATTTCTGCGGTCCTGAGATATCACTACAGTCCTGGCAGTGGAATGACCCAGGAACATTCCTACGTTACTATGAATGGGCTAGTCCAGGAACACCCCTGCAGTTCTGGAAATGGATTGGCCCCGTCCTCGGAGTGATGTATATGGACAGTCCTGTAAACCATGGCGATCTGGAACCAGAGGGAAAAATTGGGGACTCTTAACCTGCAGTCCCAGAAATAAGATTTCACTGTGATGTCATCACTCCCGTGTCCCCCGTACATGGACTAAACCTTTAGCAGCCCCCTCACCAGTCCTGGGCCGGACTGTACCAAGGCCGCTGGAGGGGCTGGTGACACGGACTCCGTAAAACGTTAGCACTTATTTTGAAATCTGCCTTTATGTTGAGAAGAGCTGACTAGATGTGAGTAGACACTTGAGTGTGTGACTAATGGCCAGAGGGCCGGCCGAAGCTCAGAAGGGCGGTCACCGATGGGCCTCAGGGTTTTTGTACATGGGCATTTCCTTCCTGTGTTTGAAATGTACTCGCAACGCATGCTAATTGTAGATCAATCGTGCACAAAAATACAGAGTGCAGCTCCCGAGCCCTACATCCGGGGTCACTCGCCCTGGTGCTAGACGCTGGCAGGGGTCCGTCTTATGCCCCGCAAATCAGGAGAAAAAGCCGGCTGCACTCCAGGAACATTCAAACGTTGGCAACTTTATTGTTCCAAGCAGACCCCTTCCTCTGACGGGCTTCACCCACAAACTACAATGAAGTCCAGCTTCATATGTGAAATGCGTCAACAGATGGAGGTCTCAGACAAGGGACTCTTTATTGTTCTGGGCAAGCAAGCAAAGAGCCCCTCCTGGGACCTTCTGATGCCTTTCACCTACAAGCCTCTACAGTTGAGTCCAGCTTTGTGGGTGAAACACATCAGATGTGGAGGTCTCAGATGGGAACTCTTTGGCATCTGTGTCTCCAACAAGCAAAGAGTTCCCGTCTGAGACCCTCTCCCCTGATATGTTTCATCCACAAGCCTCTAAGATTAATTCTAGCTTTGCGGGTGGAATGCGGCAGTGGGGCCGTAGGTCCCATGTGGGACTCTTTGGCATCTTTGTTTCGGACTAACAAGCAGAGTCCGCATCTGGGACTTTCTCTGATGCGTTTTACCCACAAACTTCTATTAAGGCCAGATTGGTGGGTGAAATGCGGTAGTGGTGTTGAAGGTCCCAGGCCGGGGGGACATTTTGGCATCCTTATTGTTCCGGACAAAAAAAATCAAAGAACCTGGGATCTCCTCTAACGTGTTTCACCCGCAAGCCTCTACAATTAAAGCTAGATTTGTGGGTGAAACATGTCAGAGGGGGAGTTCTCAGACTGGGACTCTTTGGCATCTTTATTGTTTCAGACTACCAAAGAGTCCCCGTCCGGGACCTCCTCTGACATGTTTCTCACAAGATTAAAGGAGAACTATGGGGTTAAGTCTTTTCCCCATACTTCTCCTTAGGGTAACGGGAGGACACAAACTAGCGTCCTCCCGTCACCCTAGGCTCAGTATATAGGGAGCTACAGCTCGTGGTATACTGAGACGCCGCAGCTGAAGCAGATCCTGACAATTGTGCTGGGATCCGCCCAGCTGCGTGAGTGACAGCTGACTCTGCCTATCTAAAGGCAGAGCCAGCTGTACCCGCCCCCTCCGCCAGTCAGCGCTGGAGGATCGGAGGGGGGAATCCAGCCCCTGAAATGTGTCGGGGGTGATGGAGGTCCCAGGTGGGGGCTCTTTTGCTTATTCGTCCAGAACAATAGAGGTGAACTTCCCTGCAGCGTCGGCTTTTTTTATGCTCCTTCCGGTGTAGCAGGCGGTTTTACGACCCGCTATGTGCTGCAGTCTTTTTGACAGCGGCGCCCGTGTACACAAACCCTGAAAAAGCGAAAGCTGGCACCTTTTATGGCTTGAGGCCCATTGCTGCCCGAGGAGCGACCAGTATTCCGGCAATACGTGTAACGACATTCGATCATTGACGCAATAGTGTATCTAAACCCTCAGAGGAAATATATATATTTGTAGCTGACCATGAAAGTAGTTGTTTAGTCCGAGGGATTCCTCTGACATAGTAAGAAGTATTCCTAAAAAGACCCCCCCGCCCCCCATGTATTATTAGACTTCCTGGTCATCGGGGGGGCCACGCTTCGTGTGTCCATGGAGTCTGGAGCGTAGCCACCAATGTGCTCGATCCCGAAGCAAACTACAGATGGGATGTGCCGACGCAGCAAGTTCTGACACGTCCCGCACTGTGTGGCCCATGTTCCTCCTGGACAGACCTATGGACGGGGAGCGGCGGCGGGAAAGACGTTTTCCACCATATGCAATGTAAGATCACAGTGGCCCCTCAGTTGGTGGAGGACATTCTGCTGCCGCACTGTCTTCTGTTGGAGCCATTTTGTTTTACCTTTAAAATGATCCTTTGATGAAAACTGAGCAACTGACAATTCTAATAAATGGTCCGTTGGGTCCAACTTCTGAGATTTTCTGTTTCAGGGAGTTTTTGGGGTTATTTTTAGGGGGAAAAAACATTGGTAACATTGAACAGTCGTGTCCATATGGCTGGCAGAGGGGCCACCCAGAATGTTTGGTGTATGCTGGAGCTCTGTAGTATCAAAGTAGGAGTTTCTTCCTGAGAGGAAACCCCTTAAGATGGCGGCTGTTACCTTTGTTAGCCAGGACAGCCCTCTTTTGTGCACCTCTCGGGTCTGGGTCTACTCTTGGGTCTGGGACTACTCTCGGGTCTAGGGTCTACTCTCGGGTCTAGGGTCTACTCTCGGGTCTAGGGTCTACTCTCGGGTCTACTCTCGGGTCTACTCTCGGGTCTAGGGTCTACTCTCGGGTCCAGGGTCTACTCTCGGGTCTAGGGTCTACTCTCGGGTCTAGGGTCTACTCTCGGGTCTACTCTCGGGTCTGGGTCTACTCTAGTGTCTACTCTCTGGGGTCTAGGGCCTACTCTGGGGTCTAGGGCCTACTCTGGGGTCTTGGGCCTAGGTCTACTCTGACGGCCCATTAACTCTATGTGTTGTACTGTGCGCTTTACAGAAACCCATGCAGGACAGTGTGATGCAGCACTATTCATTTTGCATGGGACCCCAATGTATCTTCCAATGAACGTGTGTTGCAATGCACTAAAGTGGGTTCCCGTGTGGTGCACCCAACATTTTACGACCGCGTTGCAACACATATGTTTTGGAAGGTGCATTGGGGTGGCACTCAGTATGAATGGAACCACACTGCACCAACACATTTAAAGGCAAGGTCCACTTTTTTGAGGAAAAAATAATAGATTCACACTATGTTACAACCTGAATATCTATAACATGAATCGTGGTGCAAAAGGTGAGCGTAGCCCTTAATGTGCATTGCAGTAAAGTATGCGTTGCCACAACGCCATAGTGCGAATGAGCCCTTACTTGAGTCTGATCCCTGCCTACTGTCCAGCCTCCGAGGCCAATGGGTACTGCCATTGGTGGTGCTTAAAGGAGAACTATGGGGTCAGGGCTTTTCCCCCTAGTTCTCCGAAGGGTAACGGGAGGACACAAACTAGCGTCCTCCCGTCACCCTAAGCTCAGTATATAGGAAGCTACAGCTCGCGGTATACTGAGACGCTGCAGCCGGAGCGGATCCCGACATCGATGTCGAGATCCGCCCAGCTGCGTGAGTGACAGCTGGCTCTGCCTATCTAGAGGCAGAGCCAGCTGTACCCTCCCCTCCCCCGTCCATTCCGCCAGTCAGCGCTGGAGGATCAGACGGGAGGGGAGAATCCAGCCCCTCCCCTGTCACGGCTCTCCGCAGTGACAGGATCGAGAAGTGAGCGAGCGCCGGTATGTGTTCGCTCACTTCCCGATCTACTGAGCCGACCTGCAACAGTCTCATTGCCACCGGTCGGTTCAGATTATGAGGCTGAATAAAAAGCACTCGCCTCATAATTCTCCTTTAACCATAGAAGTCAGGCCCCAGTGAATCCAGTTCAGAGAGGCACGAAGAAGGAACTTTCCTGGCTAATGTTAAATCATCTTGTGGTCTCTGACCCCGTTACATCATCTGTAATATAAGATGGTGGGAGTCCCTTGGCCACAGTAGGGGGGAGTAAGACGGAGGAACATGGTCCCATCACTGGAGTCCAGCAGAGAAAAGAGATCCAACATCCGCCAAATGCTGAAACATGAAATGTAGGTAGAGAATAGTAAATGACTCAACGTCACGTACAAAGGAATCGCAGACCGGCGCATTGGGTGTCACCATTGTGTGCGTAGCGTAGGTGGCGACTTCCTCCTCGGAGGTCAAGTAGAGGAATCATGAGAATCTTTATCCTCCAGATTACAGCCGAGTTCCCTTTGTGTTCTGATACTGAACCTTTCTGAGCGGACATTAGACATACATTAGACATACACGGATCATGTTCTCTGTACACGAATGCAGAATGTCCCAGCGTTATATGAATAAAGCTAGAAATGTGTTCACAATAACATGTATTCGTGTCATTTCATTAAAGGGACTCTCCACTGTACGCGATTTCTTCTATTACCATAGTCAGGACTAAGACGTATAGTTTAGGTGACTGAGATATGACTATTGTGTAGTCTTTTATCCGGCCACAAGGTGGCGCTCTCGTCTCCTTTTCACACGTTCACTTTCTTCTCACCACAAATACTGGTTTGTATAGGTAAGTGGTTCAAGCTGAACGAGTGATCAGAGCAGAGACTCATCCGGTACCGGAGGCCCAGTGTAATGTTGGAATTGGTGAAACTGGGAAATGAGATGAAGTCTTGTTGTATTAGATACCTGACTCTGGGAATTCTGTGTCTTGTTTTTAACGCTTGTAAAGCAAGGATGTGCGAGTATCGAGAGACAGATATACACTATATTACCAAAAGTATTGGGACGCCGGCGTTTACATGCACGTGAACTTTAATGGCATCCCAGTCTTAGTCCGTAGGGTTCAGCGTTGGGTTGGCTCTGCCCTTTGCCGCTATAACAGCTCCGCCTCTTCTGGGAAGGCATCCACAAGGTTTAGGAGTGTGTCTATGGGAATGTTGGACCATTTGTGAGGTCAGGTACTGATGTTGGGGGAGAAGGCCGGGCTCGCAGTCTCCGCTCTAATTCTTCCGAAAGGTGCACAGAGGTCAGGACTCTGAGCAGGACAGTCAAGTTCCTTCACCGCAAACTCCCCC